TAGAGATTGTACCCGTCAAGAAAATTTCTACCTGGGTATTATTAAATTATCTGGTTATCTAGATAATTTATTATGCAATATTATAAAAATGTCTATCTGGATACAATCTCTAGCCACAAGAAGTTTTTTATTCTGATAACATTTCTACCATGATGATGCTGAATCCATAAATAGATAGTTGGTGTAAATTTTTGACCTAACAAAACCTCTGATGTAAGGTATGGCTCATAAATTAAAAAATCATTTGCAAATTAAATAAACTCCATATATGATAACACTACTGATCCAATACTTATGATCCAAGCATGCCCATGGCAAATATTATTGGTTAGATTTGATTCATGTGTTTAATACAGTTTCGGACAGTTTCGAATATTTCGGATTGAGTTCAGATTTTGACAATTATGGATTTCGTCAGAAATTTCAGAAATTTAATTGTTGGGCGAAACTAATATCACCCATATTTCAGATTCGGATTGGGTGAAATATTTAGGTTTCGTCTGAAACACTAGCCTGTGCAATAAATGCTTGATTAATATTTTGTTTTGCAAAATATTCTATTAATATACAAAATATTTTTAAAATAATACTTTCAAAAAGTTTTGAACTTAGATGTAAAGTTTTAGAAATTAAAGAGGTTGGATCTCCTATACTAGAATATAAAAGTGTTCCAGAATTTATGAAGGCATCTGCAATTTACCAAAATTCATACCGAAAATCGATAGTAAAATCAAAGTCAAAAATATTGCCAAAGTTAACTTTAAGTATTTTCTGTTTTTATTTTTGGACATATACTAAAAGTATTTTACATCAACTTAAAATTATTTAAGGGTGAAACCATTTATTTGCTGTTTATTATATTTTTGATTTTATTCAAAATATTTTTATTCTTATATATAAAATTTAATTAGAATACGTTTATTACGTATTTATACTTGTGATTTGTAATAACTCGTAATATAAATAATAAAAATCTGACACGAGCATTTAAAATACAAATGATAATGCATTGATCAAAGTATTTATCTTTTCAAAATTCTAAATATTCACTTCTATGAAAAAAATTTCTCTTTATTATATTAATTTAATAATAAGAGACACAAATAGTAATTAGTTGACCAAACATCCCATCATAAACTTGTTTGGTCTACACTATACTTGTTACCCGAAACCTTTCCGAAACTTTCAAATTAGAATGTTAATAATTAATGCACATTTACTATAATGTACTCAAAATGTTCCTGAAATGCAATCTAATTATTCTATACTTTAAGTCTTAAAGTTTAAAATTAAATTTCTAAGCCTTTCAGTATAGTGTTAAAGTTTTATAAAGGGTTTTGGTTTTGGTTTTGGGATTTTATATATAGTTTCAGATTTCAGATAGTTAAACCAGATAATAATATTGCATTAGTTTACTTAATTGCATTAGCATTAGCGTTAGTTTATCAAGATCTCGAATAATTTATCTTAAGTTGCAGAGAAAATCATTGCTTTAATGAAATCACAATAAAAATCAATTATCGATCATTATCATTATTTATATTTTTGTAAGACATAAGCTAATGCTGCTAAACAAAGAACAACTAATAGTTTCACACTGTCATGCTGATCAATATCTTAACGTTACGTATTTATATTCGTTCTATTTTTGTAAAATATTTTTAAAATTTACGTGATAAATTTTCACAGTAACTGCCTATTCTTTAGCTATCTATTATGAGGTGCATGCATTTTGTAAGCGGCAGCGCTCTTAGATATATTCGAAGACGTAAATTGCGAAGAAAACATTTCTAATTTATTCTTCTATGTCTAAAATTGATAAATCTAATTATTTTAAAAAGATATATTGAATTAAGCATAAGTTTTGTTTGGAAATATTGCATATTGGTTTATTATTCTAGGTTTTATGTAATTGATCATAAGAAAGGATTATCCAAACCAGGAATTTAGAACATGATACCACACGTAAAATGATTTTAGTTTTTGCAATGGCAATATGTAATTTTGTAAAATTACTTTTTATAAAATCTTGTTGTTAAAAAGCTAATGACAAGGTAGATATTTTTAGGTTAAAAGGATAAAATTACTATATTATATTATATAACGATAAGCATTATAAGTTTTATAAAGTAAATGTTACAAAAGATAATCAGTTAAATTATCAGTAGAATATATGTATATTAATATATCGCTCTAAATATGTACTTATAATTCATTAAATATTACATATAATATATAATAACTAGTGTACTAAAGCACAATTATAATATATTGTAACAGTAATTAATCATAAACTTTGTTCTTGAAAAATATTTGAGTGCCGTCAAAGGAAAACCTAGCATGACTACCAAGATCAGTAACAACCCTAGTATGACTACCAAGATCAGTTACATAATTTGTATTTAAATCAAATGCATAACCAAATAAAAAATTTTTCAATAAAAAAATTCAAAAAAGAAAACCAAAGTTTCTTTTTTTCAGATTATTTACAAATTAATAATAATAAAACAGGAGAAACCATCGATGTTACATGACTAATCCTTTACTTAACGTGCAATATATAAAAAAATTATTTTACAATACCAGATTATTCTGCTAGTATATGTTATAATTATAATCATAACATAAACTAGCAGAATGATCTGATATTGTAAAGTAATTTTTTTATATGTTGCTCACCAGGTCATGTAATATTGATGGTTCTTCTGTTTAATAATAAATCAATCAATCGCTAAGTTAATTTTTTGAAATTTCTGAATAACGATTTAAGTTTTATTTGATTTACTGATTTGATAAACAAATAAATTTCAAAATAATTTTTGCAAGACTTTTAAAAGTTATTTACATATAGAACTTGATTATTTGCCAAATATAACTTAATTGTTTTGCTATTTAATGCAAAGAATATCCAATCACAGTTATTCATTTATAAGTACAAGCTTGATTTTTATTAATATAAATTTATAGCAACGTACCTATTTAATGTTTAATTTATATATAGTTAAAAGCATGCTTACACAAAAAATATCTTTATTGATAACGTTAATTAATAATATTTTTGGTTAATTAAGATTTGTCATCATATCAAACTTTATTCATTGTGAAAAATTGTTATAAATAAATGCTGAAATTTTGAAGCAAATATATATTTTCCTAATATTCAAATGTTTCAAATTATTTACGGATTAACTCTTACTCTATCTAAATTGGCAAAACTAGTTTGAATTTAGAACGACAATTTGGGATTGGGGATTTGGATATTTGCCAAAATCCAAAACACTGTCTAAATTTGTTATAAGTAGTTTAGGTCCTATTACTATTAATAATGTAATATAGATATTTGTCATCAAACTTAAACTATCGTAATGTGACTGCGTACTGCCTTGTTAGGTTAGATGTTGATTATTGATTCAGATCATAAATTAAGCTTAATTTTTGAAAGAAAACCTTTAATGTTATTTTAAAAATCCCAATTCAGATTTATTACTTTCTCTATATACTTTACTTTAATTATTTCAAAATACACAAAATAACTTATTCCTCACTCATAATAATAATATATACAGTGTTTTACTCTATAAATGCATATTAGAGAGGTTTGATAGGTATTTTTTTATATGAGAATTCAATTGAATTTTTTTTTGTAGTATAACTTTTCTAAATCAGTGAAATCAATTTTCCAGGAAAATTTGTCTACGTAGAATACAATACAGCATGGTTCTATTTAATTTTCTTAATTGTGCATTTAAATTTATTACAGTATTTGAATTTTCATGCCGCTTATTTTTTTAGCTGAATATTAGTCTGAAAATATTTAATGTTTAGAACTCTAAATAAAACAAAATAAAATAAAAAATAGGTATAAAAAAAAACTCCTTACGATTGTTATAATGAAAATTCAACATTAATAATACTGTAATAAACTACGGTTTAATCAAATTTGGCAGTCTATTAGGTTTTTTGATTTTATACAAGAAAAAATCTAATGAAACATTAGACAGTAGTCAAAGATACTGTCTAAACATGAAAATTTTCAATAAATATTTTATATTTAATGGCCTTATAAAATGATATCAAATTCATTATTAGCCCTTTTTGAATTTAATTATTATATCTTGCGATATTGATAGAAGAATTTTGCTCCATGTTTATGCTTTCCAATGAAAAGCCTATTATCAATGATGTAACTTCATCTCTAATTTCAGGAAGTCATATTAATGATATGACTTCTAAATCGTCATTCATTTCAGAAAGTCAGGAAAAAACAATCAATCAAAGAAGAAAGAAAAACAAAGCATTACTTTCTCCACCACGTCCTCCAAATTGTTTTATACTATATAGAAAATACCAACAATTCAAAATTAAGAAACAACATACAAACTTGACAAATGTTAATATATCCAAGGTTGTCTCTATAATATGGCGAAATGAATCCAACATTGTAAAGCTTCAATTTGCTAAACTTGTAGATCAAATGAAGGTCGAACATCAGAATACTATCCTGACTATAAATATTGACCAAAAAAAGGTCTCCAAGGCATTTACACAGATCTAATGCCTTTTAGTAAAAAATGCAATTTACCTGACAAAGACATTACTCAAATAGCCAAATCTTTATTAAATTCAAATTATCTTTCAGATCTTTAATTTTTTACATCAGAAATTTCTCAATCACCACCTCCATCACAAATTTCTCAATCACCACCTTCATTACAAATTTCTCAACTACAACCTCCATCACAAATTTCTCAATCACCACCTCTATCACAAATTTCTCAATCACCACCTTCATTACAAATTTCTCAACCACAACCTCCATCACAAATTTCCCAATCACCACCTTCATCACAAATTTCTCAATCACCACCTTCATTACAAATTTCTCAACCACCTCCATCACAAATTTCTCAATCACCACCTTCATTACAAATTTCTCAACCACCTCCATCACAAATTTCTCAATCACCATCTTCATCACAAATTTCTCAACCACAACCTCTATCACCACTTATTTTAGAAGAGTTTTTGAATGATTTTACTATTGATCAAATTTTTTCACCTGAACTTGATTATATTGAATCATATTTTATTAATGGATTTAACTTTTTTGATTCCATGAATTAAAAAATTTTAACAATTCTAAATGCCTTTTCATTCTCTTTTTTTGTTAATACCTTTTTATTTATATAACAATTTATTAGTTTATTACAATCAAAATCTTTATATACAGTGTAGTATCTTTTTATAAAGGTCTAAATATACAATAAAAGATTTTTGTCATCACCAAATTCAAAAATCACAAACGTTCTGTTAAAAATAATTTTATTGTTGGTAGATTTAATCGTCAAACATTTTTCGAGTTCAGACTTCCAACATATTGGAAATCTGAACCTGAAAAACATCTGATAGCTAATTCAAAATTGAATAAACTTATTTAATTCAACAATTAAATTTTAACGTTAAGTTTAGGTTTATCTAAATTCAACAATACACAACCCATTTTTACTCTATTTGTAAACTTTTTCTTTCTTTTAAAATCATTATATTGACAATTATTTGACTTTTACAAAAGTTTCATATTCATCATTTTGGAAATAGGAATTGCGCATTAAAATATTTAATTAAATTTTTACAAATGATAAGTGCACAAATATTGCAAACCACAATAATTAGTTAAAAAGGCTGTTCTTATGCTTTAACGTTGATTGTATGATACAGTCTCAATAATTGGTCAACTAGATCTAACAGGAAAAATAATACTAAAATATGAAATTAAATCCTAAATATTTTATTTAAGAACTGGAATAACTTATTTTTAATAAAACTTTGAGCTTAACAATCCTGATTACCAACAATTAGTTTTCTAGTCTAAACATTACAATTACAATTTACTAACAGCCTGTGTATTGTGGATTTTCATCAAGAAAATACATGCTTTTAAATAACCTTCTTTAACTAAACCTTCAAGTAGCTTAATAGCAACCTTCTGATCTTGTTTTCTTATCTTATCAACACCAATTCTATGCTATAAATAATGCACCAACCAATATTTTACTTCTTTATCGCCTTCAGCTTTAGCAAGTTCCTTTAAAATTTCTCGAATTTCTCTTAAAATATTGTTGATTTCAGTATCTCTTCCTGATTTACCAAGATTCGTATTATGAAATTCAGCAAGAAATTGAGTAAATGCATGGCAATCATCTAAATGTGAAAAATCTATTTCAAGGTTTATTAAAGCATAGTCATAGTTAAGATGCATTGAAGATACAAAATTAGTAACGGCTATTGTAAGGTTGTTGCTTTGCTATATATACGTATTTAATATTTTCTAAGTACAAGAATTTCACTTGTGCACTGGTTTTCTACTATTCTTTTTGTAATTAAAAATTTGATCGATTTATACTTAAACCTATATCTTAATATAATGTATTTCCAAATAAATAAATAAAAATTGAATTGAATTATTATTATAATCAAAACGTCAGTTGATTTATTAAACTCGTAAAAATTTCCATTATTCACTTTCTTTTTTAAATTGCTTAGTATGCTATATAAGATCTGAAGAAAGGCTAAATTGGCAAATTAGTTAAATTAAAAAAAAAACTAATTTTTTTAATTTTTAAAATTTATTTATTCAAATTACTTCTTGAATTGATCATTCTTTATAATCATTTAGGTTTAGCAGAATTCATTAATTTTTCAATTTAGCAATATGTTATTTTTTTAAATTGAAACTAATTGTTAATATCAGATAAGCAATTTTTATTTAAAAGTAAGCATTATCATAGAAAAGCAAGGAAGTAAAATATGAGTTTACAATCACTACTGATTCCTTTGTCTTCGTTTACATTTCATGATTTTATAATATTTTTTATTATTGCTATTGTGGCTTATACGTTTAAATTCTATTATACCTATTTTACTCGTGAAAATAAACTTCCTGGGCCCTTTCCACTACCTTTGATCGGTAATCTTTATTTTCTTTATAGAGAATTAGATGATATCCTCTTTGATCTTCAAGAAAAATATAGAAGTGGACTGTTTGAGTTTTATATTGATTCTGAGCGAAAGATCTGTATAGGAGATGCAAAACTACTGAAAGAAATTAACAAATATTCATCAAATACAAAATTTAAAAGTCATGCTGAATTTGAATTAGATGAGTTAGCTGGCTTAGGAATTGGCTTCAACAATAATTTAGAATCTTGGAAAAATAATAAAGCATTCCTGATCCAAAGTGTTATAACACCTTCATTTTGGAAAAAATATATTAAAGAAATTGAAATGATATTTGAAAACTCGATAAATTTGGTGGAATGCAAACAAAAAAGTGCTAGTTTTGAAATTGATTTTAAGGAATAGGCAGTTAGATTACTAGCAATTGAAGGATATACAAAAGAATCTATTTCAAAAGAATTGTCATATAGAATAAATTACATGATTTTCATTAATATATATTTAAAACACCTGTTTTTAAAATACTTCAATTTCAAAAATGAAAACCGGATTATATGTATTATCAAATTATAAAATTTACTTCAAGAATGACGTGTTATTGTATATGGTACAAATTTTATCTGCATCTCGTGATTGTTCAAATCCAAATGCCTAGAAGTATAATGTTCTAAGCTACACTTCGGCCAATTATAATTATGTATTGTTAAGGTGTGCTAGACAAGAGATAATAGCAAATATTAGTTTGATAATAAGGTTGCATGTTGTGGTCAATTCTGAAAAATGAAGTTTAAGTTGCAAAATAAACTTAGTAAATGGGTATTTATTAAAATTTATTTCAAGCATATAATATTTTCAATCACTTATAAAGAAATGATAAAATTTTTTCTTTCAAAATTAAAGATTTATTATAAGAAAATTCTAAATATTAATGCTATCGTAACAGTATGACCATCTTCCCATATATGTCATTTTCTTCATCAACAGCTATTGAATAGAAATCACCAGCTGCGACAAGTATGCATTATCAAGGAATAAAGGAATTTTATGAACGACCGAAACTGTGTATATGACTATTTTTTTAATTATCAATGTATAGCACATTCTTCAGGCAATTTGATTCAACTTTCGTATATATATACGTAATATAATTCTTTCGTATCAGTATATTGTAATTTAATTTAACCGAGTATAAATTTAAATTATAAACCGCTTAGTATCTTGTTCAAGTCAAATCATAATATCTTTGTACTACACATTGTAAACATATATGGCTTATTTCAGTTTAAGCCAAATCCAAACTAAAATAACCATGTGTGGTTTAAACCAAAACTTGTATATCTCAATTTATGTGTTTATTTTATTTTATTTAATACTGTATATTATTTTATATATTTCTTAATTATATATAACTCTTATTTAAACAATGAAATATGTCACTTGAAACTAATATTTTAAACAAAAACTATGACTTGTAAATCAGAGTTTAAACGGTATCTTTGCTCCAATAATCTCAATATCGAAAAGGCTACGATTAGTTTTCTTGATGGACATGTGAAATATCTTCAGCGTAAATTTAAACGTTCTGACATTAGTTTCATCGAATATAAATCTCATCTCAATGAAATCAAAGAACTCAAAAAAAAGGCTAGACTGCTTAATGGCAAAATCATGAGTTTGGGAAATGAAAATGAAATGTTACAAAATGAAAATACAGATTTGCGTAGCATAATATATTACGGATATAAAATGGCAGTCACTACCAGAGTAGATAGAGGATTATTGGATTTTTTTCAAAGAATGAAAAGATTATTTGATACATATCGAGATAAATACAAAATAGATGATGCTTCAATTTATATTCCTATTTTCATGATATATGTAAATTAATTGACTTTTTGAAACCAAATTAGATTCTAGTTCATTGAGAATATCTGAAATAATTGACGATGTAAATCCTTGGAAGGATTTAATATCAAATGATGAAATTCTATTGAAGATTTGCTTGTATTTATCTTCAGAAGATTTATTTTTTTCTCTGATGCAAGTTGAAAAATTATTGTATAAGAAATTATGGTTAGATGGTACACAAACCATGTGGAAGGTTTCTCGACAACAACAACCAAATCATAATCATTCTTGCCCCATTCATATGACTGAACAGCAATATTGTTTTTTATACTTTATATGCAAAAAATGTCAAATTTGCAATTAACATGTCGATGATTTCGCATTAATCTTTGAACTAAAAATCAAAATTTGTAGATATTGTCGTGAACCAAAGTTAATAAGATAAATGCTAAAAACATTGGTTCTCATATTGCCAAATATTATAATTAATTTAGTTCGATTTATATAGCCATTTGACACTTGAACAAGAGAATAATTTTCTATCCAAGCTCATTTCAACATTACATTCAGTAGATTACACACAGCTTGAAGGAAGCTACTTAGATTATTCTGTATGTGAATTATCAGCCGTGTCTCATTTGGTTTTTTACTTTAAAAGAAAAGTAGAAGATATCTTTAATGAGTATCTCAGAATTCCTGCTAATGAGAAACAAGAATGGTTAAATAAGCGGTCAAAGGTCGTTCGAGAATATTACAATGATGTTTTAAAAATTAAACATCCAACTATTACGGATCAATATTTAATTCCCAAATAACAAACTTTCTTACAACACCAATTTATTCAAAATTTATTTCAATTAATTCGTCAAAATTCATTTTTGATTCCCGAAAACTTCAAATTTGTGTAATTGAAAAAAGATTGAAAAACATAAAGCTTATTTTGCTATTTTATTTCTTTTGTTACTTTATGTATTATATATACTTTATAATAAAAAAGTAAATCTTTGTCAAGTACAATTCGTAATATGTCTAACACTTATAATAACGGATATAAACTTTCCTCATAATTATTATTAACTTATCTGGACTTCCAATTACAATATTAAGTAGATCTAATATTCTGGATTTAGATATACAAATTTTTGAAGAAAAAATAACTAAAGTTCTTAGTTGGATCAATGATCTTCATAACTTTTTAGTCTCGTGAGGCCGTGATTATAATATAGTAGTCACTTCATATCATATATAATGAATACATTAACATAAATTTAAAAGAATGAACTACTTTCTGAGCTCTTGGAATTATTTAATATATACTTTATAACAATTAAATAAAAGAAAAAAGCTTTTATTAGTTATCTACCGCATATTTTATTTTTTATGATTGCGCAACATTATGGACCATTCGAAGAGATCCATATGCTCTAATGAGCTTGATACAACCTTATAACCATTGTCTATATTTAATAATCTAAATGATTGTTTAAACTCTTTAAATTGCATTTCGAATAGCACTCAGGTTGTTTCGCGCAAATACGATAATCAGTTAACTATTTTGAATACTTATACACCTCGATTTTATACCCATGATATCGTTTTTAATTTCAAACTCAATAAATATACTCTTTTTTTTCTTTAATTGCATAATTTTATTATATGAAATATATGAATCAATACATTTGAAGCATCATGTGATAATTCAAAAAGAAGTTCAAAAAAAGTGCAGAAAAATAAAACAAACATAAAGCTCTTATCAGAATATTAATTATATAAGAGAATAAAGAAACTCTCAAAATATGAAGTTCATTATATAAGAGTGTAAACAATAAATATGCTAATATATAAATTTTAAAAAAATAAAAATGATAAATAAAAACGAATGGCTCTCTAAGCTCCATTCTATAAGCCGGCTCTCTGAGCTCTAGCCAGAAGACTAAAGAAGTAATAATTGCTGTTTGATAAAAAAAATTACAATGGTAGAAGTTTTACTTCTCTAAATTTACATAGTCTAAAGTCTAGCTTTCCTCATCATAATGAAATTAAAAGTTTATAAAGTCAAAGACATGAAAATATTTTATGAATTCAATTTACTTCCATTACACATTTGACTTTTCTCAAAAAAGAAAAGAAGACAAAAACATTAGTAACCACATAATATTATCATTTAAAAACAATAAATCAAATTAAAATTACTTTCCTTCCGCATTTAAAAAGATTTGATTGCCAAACATAAAAAACATTGTATGTATGAGTTGTCTGCATATAGTCATAAAGTCTAAAGAAGCAATTAATACAGTTTTATAGTGTAATAACAAAAATCTCAAAAAAATTTTACTTCTCTCTATATCATAAACTTTATGTAAAAAGGTTCAAGTAGTTCAGATGAAAAAGATTCTATGATCTAGTAAAATGGATATCCGGCAGGCGTGATAAATTAATGTTTAATGAGTCATGCATAATCATCTCAGAAATATTAGAACACACGTGATCTTTCAGGAGTTATCATAAACAAGTCTTTAGCCAATTAAGTAATTGTATGTAAAACATTAGAACACCTTGCATAATCATCTTGAAAAGACATGATTATTTACCAATTACAATCATTTTGATTATCAATAGTGTGAAAGAAATGATTTATTTACTTGTATAAGTGTGAAACGTTTGAACGACTTGCATAATCAATCATCTCATGACTTGATTTATTTACTTGTATGATGACTGTGAAATGTTAGGATGCTTGCGTGATTTTTCAGGAGTTATTAATTAAACAAGTCTTTAGCCAATTAAGTAATTGTATGTGAAACATTAGAATGCCTTGCATAATCATCTTGAAAAGAC